GTTAGCATTATTTACTCCTCAGCTCCCCGGTTTCAGAGCTTACTAGAGAATATCAAAGTATCTCCCAAACGTAAGCATTAATCTTCAATGGGGAACTCAGTGCAACCCAGCAAGCAATCCTTCTTCTATCTCCTGTTGGCATGGATAATCATCAGATAGCTATCGCTGGCTTTATCTTCCTCTATCTGCTTACTTCCTCCCCCCTTTCCTTTGGTTTTTAACTATCTCTGAAATATTTCTACTTCTATAATCTTTTACCACAGCTTAAGCATCCTGGAATACATTCTTTAAGATCTCTTTACCACCAAAGATGCAAATTAAGACCAGCAGGCAGCTGATATTTACTGGAAAAAAGCAATGAGGCAGAATCCTCATTCCATTACTCATTGAGCAAGTCACTTAACTTGCTGACTCATGGTTTCCTCGTCTAAATGGGAATAATAATTCCTCTTCACAGGGTGCTGTAAAGATGAAGTGAGATGGAGTATCTTTGAAAACAGTTTAATAATTATATATTTGTTCTTTTGTTTGTTCATTCATTCCTGATTGGTAGTTCTCATAGAAAGTGGCCAAGAGTCCAAGATCCAGAACATAGAAGCACAGAAAGGGAAAATTTGTACAGCAAGTATGGCACCTCATAGATGAGGCTAATCACCCTACAAACAAAGTTGGAGTTTATTATCTAACTCATCCACTAAAAACAGTATCTTAAGTGTGTCACAGCCAATATTCTTAGACAATTTATCTTGGCATGGAATGAAGGTGCAATAACTCCAGTATTTGGTAACCAGTAATAATTTAGGGAAAATATTTAATAAGCAGGACTGTCAGGAAGAGGATCCCTTTGTTAGGGATAACTTCCTCCTCGAGCGAAAAGATAGAGGTTTAATGCAACTCCTATGAGGCTAAGTGATTTACCCACAGTCACCATCTTTTAACTAATTTAGTAGGTATATACTGAGTGGCCAGATTATGACCACCTGACGTTTGTAGGCAAATTAGCTATAATTTTGTGCTGACGTTGCTAGATGGCCAGACCATTATAAACAGGGAAGCAGGTTGTTTACCACGACAGTAGAAGTGATTTTTTCCTGAAGATATGGGTAAACAACGTGATTTAACAGCCTTTGAACATGGGATATAATATATACACTGAGTGGCCAGATTATTATGACCACCCCATCAGTACTTCGTTGGGCCACCTTTTGCCTTCAATACTACGGCGATTCTTCGTGGCATTGACTCCAAAGGTGATGCGAGGAATCTGACACCATGCCTGATGAATAGCACTGTCCAGTTCTGTGAGATTTGATGGTTGTGGAACCAGCTGCCTGATGGCTCTTTTAACTTCGTCCCACAAATGCTCAATTGGATTGAGATCTGGTGATTGTGGGGCCACCTAAGCAAGGGAAAGTCTCCCTCATGTTCTTGAAACCACTCCTGCACAATATGAGCACCGTGGCATGGCGCATTGTCTTGTTGGAAGAAGCCATCTCCATTGGGATACGCCATCAACATGATAGGATGAATCTGATCAGCAATAATACTTAGGTATGTTGTGCTATTCAGACGTTGTTCCACACGAATTAAAGGGCCCAAATCATGCCAGGAAAACATGCCCCAAACCATAACACTGCCCCACCAGCTTACAGGGTTGGACTCATGCATGTGGGGTGCATGCTTCCATGCTGTTTCCGCCAAATTCTCACTCTGCCATCTGCATGATGCAACTGGAAACGTGATTCATCGGACCACATGACTGTTTTCCAATGCTCGACTGTCCAATACTTGTGTTCCTGTGCGAATTGGAGACATTTTATCTTGGTAACTGCAGACAGCAAAGGTGTTCGAACAGGCCTTCGGCTTCCATATCCCATACAATGCAGTGTACGGCTAATTTGCCTACAAATGTCAGGTGGTCATAATGTGGCCACTCATGTTCAAATATATCCCATGTTCAAAGGCTGTTAAATCGTGTTGTTTACCTATACCTTCAGAAAAAAAATCACTTCTACTGTGGCAAACAACCTGCTTCCCTATTTATAATGGTCTGGCCCTCTAGCAAGTTCAGCGCGAAATTATAGCTAATTTGCCTAACACATCAGGTGGTCATAATAATCTGGCCACTCAAGAAATTCTACAACTAGAAGGAAAGAGAAAAGCATACCGAGACTCATAGGAGGCGCAGTGCGGAAGTAAAATACTAAGGTGCGGAGGTGCATGTGGAGCGGGCTGGCGGCTGAGGGCGTGGTTGTCGTTTTCAATCAGGAGGGAGTCTCAGTGCATTGCTTCTCAGCTGGGCCTCATCTGGGCACCCCCAAACCCCCAAAAAAGGAAGGGGAATCTGCATATCTCTTCATAGCTCCTGCTGGGTAACCTCAGGAAGAGGCTTAATTAGCACCTCCTTAGATCCAAGAGCCAGTGTACCCAGTGGTCAGAGTGGGACCACCCAGATTACAACTCCTCAGATTCATAAGGAACACACTCAGGGGGCAGACTCAGTGAGCACCAAAGCCCCACTGAAGCAAGTCTTGCCCCAGAAGGGTGTCTTCAGCACAGAAGTTCTCCCACTGCAGACACAGCTGATTCTCACTGCCAATTGGCCTGGAGGTCAATTCCTCCCAGTGACACCTAAAACAATCAAGGCATAACTACAACAAGACTGTGCACAAAGCCCACAAGGGGGTGCACCAAGAGTGTCCACCTCAGGTAACTGGGGAGGCTGAGCCACTGGGCCCTGTAGGACACCTAGCACACAAAACCACTCTACCAACACAGGGAAGCAGACAAAATGCGAAGACAAAGAAACAGGTCACAAATGACAGAAATGGAGGACAGCAAACGACTGGATATAGAGTTCAAAACCACGGTTCTAAGATTTTTCAAGAATTTTATGGAAACCGCCGATAAATGTATTGAGATCCTTAAGAAATCTAGTGAGACCCTCGATGTTGTGATAAAGGACCAACTAGAAATTAAGCATACACGGACTGAAATAAAGAATATTATACAGACTCCCAACAGCAGACCAGAGGATCGCAAGAATCAAGTCAAAGATTTGAAATGCGAAGAAGCAAAAAACACCCAACCGGAAAAGCAAAATGAAAAAAGAATCCAAAAATACGAAGATAGTGTAAGGAGCCTCTGGGACAACTTCAAGCGTACCAACATCAGAATTATAGGGGTACCAGAAGAAGAGAGAGGGCAAGATATTGAAAACCTATTTGAAGAAATAATGACAGAAAACTTCCCCTACTTGGTGAAAGAAATAGACTTCCAAGTCCAGGAAGCGCAGAGAACCCCAAACAAAAGGAATCCAAAGAGGACCACACCAAGACACATCATAATTAAAATGCCAAGAGCAAAAGACAAAGAGAGAATCTTAAAAGCAGCAAGAGAAAAAAAGTCAGTTACCTATAAGGGAGTACCCATACGACTGTCAGCTGATTTCTCAACAGAAACTTTGCAGGCCAGAAGGGAGTGGCAAGAAATATTCAAAGTGATGAATAGCAAGAACCTACAACCAAGATTACTTTATCCAGCAAAGCTATCATTCAGAATTGAAGGTCAGATAAAGAGCTTCACAGATAAGGAAAAGCTAAAGGAGTTCATCACCACCAAACCAGTATTATATGAAATGCTGAAAGGTATCCTTTAAGAAGAGGAAGAAGAAGAAAAAGGTAAAGATACAAATTATGAACAACAAATACACATCTATCAACAAGTGAATCTAAAAATCAAGTGAATAAATAATCTGATGAACAGTATGAATGGGTGATTATAATAGAATCAGGGACATAGAAAGGGAATGGACTGACTATTCTTGGGGGGGAAAGGGGTGTGGGGGTACGGGAAGAGACTGGACAATAATCGTGCACCTATGGATGAGGAAAGTGGTGGGGAGTGAGGGCGGAGGGTGGGGTGGGAACTGGGTGGAGGGGAGTTATGGTGGGAAAAAAGAGGAACCAATGTAATAATCTGAACAATAAAGATTTAATTAAAAAAAAATACTCTGGCCACTCAGTGTATTGCTTGAAATGGAGAGCCTCAAAAGTTAAAATACATCCCAGTATAAAACTATAATAATTAAAAGAGTGTGATATAGTACTGAGAATTTGTCGTATGATGTGACATTTGAAATCAGCACAGAAAAGTGGGATAATTTAATACTATTGGAGCAACTGATTTATCAGATGAAAATATATTATGAAATTGAATTGTGTCCCCTAAGAAGATAGGTTGAAGTCCTAATCTCTGGCACCAATGAATGTGATCTTATTTGGAAATAGTGTTTTTGAAGATCTAATCAAATTAAGGTCAGGTCAATACTGGGTTAGTGTGACCTAATCTGATGATTAGTGTCTTTACAGAGAGAGATTTGGACACAGAGGCACACAGGGAAGAATGCCATGTGACAAGAGAGATTGGAATGATGCAGCTGCTGTCAAGGAAGACAAAAATAGCACCTCATTTTAATTTGAACTTTTAAGTGAGAAGAAAAAGTTTTCCATAATCGTTAATCTACTCATGTAAATTATATTTTAAAAAAATTTTAGTCAGTTAATTAATTTGAATCTTAAAATTCCTACCCTTAGTATTCCCAAGAGTTCCTTGTATAATATAGATAGATATCAACTAATTCTTGGTTTGCCCCTCACTGGGAAGTCTCTCTTCACATCTGATGCTTCTGAGGGCTCCCTCACCCATTCCCATGGCTTTGACCACCATCTTTATGGTTCCTCAGTCCACATGCTCTAGAAATCAATCTGCTCCCATGCCACCCCACCCCCAAACAGCTTGGAACAGTGTTCTGCACACTGGGTGATAAATATAGGCATAAAAGGACCATTTTTTAAGGATTAGACTACTTTTAGAACTATTTTAAAGATTAGTTATGAATAATTAGAAAATAATTCTATAGCATTAATTCATAAAAATAAGCAAATGGATAAAAAATATTCTAGTTAACTGCCAAAGTGCTTGAAAAATGAATACAAAAATGAATTTAAAAAATTCTTTATTTAAAAATCTCTAAATGCAGCATTCTATAAAAATTGTTTATATTTACATACTCTTTACTAATCCTATTGGTATGAATTCAATTTTAAATGCAATTTTGAAAAGCTTCCAGGATTTCTTCTGAAAGTAAACATTTAAAAATATTTTTTACAGAAACTTAAAAAAAAAAAAAAGGACCCTGGGAAATCACTTACTATTGCAGGAAGCAGGGTTAATAGAGAGTATTGACTGTTTCTCAGAGCCTATGTAAATGGGAAAGTTCACGTGCAACAACTGTGTCCCCTAAGAAGGGAGACACAGTTTGTTTTTTCAGTCTTTGCAGTTTTCAGACCAAATGTGACAGTGCCAGACTCTTTACACTGTTACCTAAACCAAGGTATTCCATTTGGTTAATATAAAAAAAAGACACCATTTCTGAAATCATGATCTTTTCATGAAATCAAAGCAGAAAAACTGTTCAGGATAAGCAGATCCTTCAAGTTGGCACATTATGAAAACTCTTTAGAATCTGCTGCGACTCTATAACCAATCAGGGACTCTTTAACACCTTCATCCACAGGCAGATCCACTAGCACATGGGGCTTATCGTAACCAAACGAGGTAGTAGTGTTTCTCAGCGTTATGGGCTCTGGTTCTCCTGTCTTCATTCCAGTTTTGTTACTTGGAGGAGATTCTGAGTCAGATAAGAAGATGCCTGATTCCACAAGGCCACTATCAGAACCATTTCTGGAGTGATAACAGTTTAAAGCAACGATGCAGGGTTCAGACTGGTTACTGCCTGAATGGACAGAATCCCCTCTCCTTACTGGGGTCAAAGGGCTACCAGGGGCCATGTCAGGAGTATTTTCTTCAGTGGTCCCTACTTGTGTTCCACTAGAAAGATCTCCGTGTTCTACTTTTCCTGGATGGTCCTCAGTCTGCATACTGGAAATTATTGCTGAAGACAACTGCTCTTCCCAGATCACTTTCTCATTTTCAGGGACAATTGGTTCATAGATGATGGGTGATACATATTTTGATTCAGCTTTTGCCTCTGAAGAGGCATTTTTTACCACAGATACCTAAGGGAAGAAAAATCAATGAATAAAAATAACATATTATTAAACTTAAAGAGCTACCTCAAAAAAATGGTCTAAGGCTAATGGACAATTAAATATACCACTAAATAGCATATTTAGAACAGTATAATAAAAGCTAGTGGTAGCACTGCCTTTATTTTTAATGAAAATATACTATATTAAGATTAGAAACAATTTTTAAAAGTTAATATCTCACCAACATATGCTGTATTTTGTGCATTACGTTTCATACATATGAATGTTAAATTTGTAATGGGAGTCCAGCTACTTTATAAAATGTTTTTACCATTTTCCTTCATAATTATAATTTTCATTGGCTCATATAAGTTCTTTATATGCCAATGATTAAATAATTTCTCTAATAGATGTTAGCAGTGTTAACAATTTTTACTATTGATAGAATATGTTTAAATAAATATTCTTACCTGTCTTTTTACTTTAGGAATAAAAAAATGGAATGACTAAGTTCAAGGGAGGGGCATGTTTATGGAACTACGACACTTCGTACTCATTGTACGCTTATCTTCCCACCAGGGCTATATGACCAGTTTTACTACAGCTACTCCCAGATATTCAAGTTTATTTTTTCTTCTCTGGTGGGTATAAAATGGCATACTGTGAGATTGCTTTGTGCTTAATTAATAGTAAGGATGAGTGCTATAATATGTGAATTGTCTACTATTTGTTCATAGTTCTTATCCACTTTACTTAAATGTAATGTATTCATAACAAATTTAAATGGGCCCCTTGCATATCACAGATGTTATTCCTATCATATGTGATTCAAAAAGCTGTAATTATTACCCTTTAAATGTTTTTATCACCATACAAAGAATTTTAAGCCCTAACCGGTTTGGCTCAGTGGATAGAGCGTCGGCCTGGGGACTGAAAGGTCCCAGGTTCGGTTCAGGTCAAGGGCATGTACCTTGGTTGCAGGCACATCCCCAGCAGGAGGTGTGCAGGAGGCAGCTGATCGATGTTTCTCTCTCATCGTTGTTTCTAACTCTCTATCCCTCTCCCTTCCTCTCTGTAAAAAATCAATAAAATATATTTAAAAAAAAAAGAATTTTAAATGTTAGCCATTAAAATGTCAAACTTCTAGTTTAGTCTCACTTTTCCCCAGCAGGTGTGCAGGAGGCAGCTGATCGATGTTTCTCTCTCATCGTTGTTTCTAACTCTCTATCCCTCTCCCTTCCTCTCTGTAAAAAATCAATAAAATATATTTAAAAAAAAAAGAATTTTAAATGTTAGCCATTAAAATGTCAAACTTCTAGTTTAGTCTCACTTTTGGCCATCTTTCCTTCTGCACTCCAACCACAGTGAAGTGTTTCTGTATTTTCCTACTTTCAAAAGCCATGGTTTCTCTTGATGCTGGACCTTAGCACATATGGTCCCTTAGTACTTGGAAAAACTCAAATCTGTCCCTCAGGACTGCTCAGGCTTCACTGCCTCTAAACAAAGTCCTCTTTGGCACGTGTATAAACCTCTACTTTTAAACCTGTCACACAGTACACCCACTGAATACTTATCTTTTTCTCCCATTAGACTTTAAGCTCCTTAACAGATTTGTCTAACTGTACTTTTGCCACATGCATAAAAAAGGCACCTGGTGTGTAGTGAAAAATATGTCGTTTTGGATGTGTGGTAGATCTGAGTGATTTATGGTAGGTGACATGCTGCTGAACATCATTCTACTTTTTAAAAAGTTTCAAGTATTAAAAAGGTTCAAATCAGCACTTTAGTGTATATAATTAAAGAAGTATATTTAAATACATTACCAAGGACTTGGGTAACATGATGCTTTCTCTCTTAAATGGATTTATCTTCTTAAAGTTCCAACATACAACTACCAGGATAAGTACTAGAAAGAGTAGGAGAGCAGCAACAACTGGAATCCAAACAGAATCTGAAAGAAAGAAAAATCACAAATTAGAACTAAGGATTGAACACTGGTATAATCAAATAGTCATAAAGTCTTTGAACTATTCTTTTTTTAAATATGTTTTTATTGATTTGAGAGAGAGACGAAGAGTGAGAGAAACATCTATGTGAAAAAGAAGCAAAGATCGACTGCCTTTTGCAAGCCCCCTATGGGGATTGAGTCCATAACCCCGGGCATGGGCCCTGACCAGGAATCGAACCAGCAACCTCTAGGGCAGCAGTTCTCAACCTGGGGGTAGAACGACCCTTTCACAGAGGTCACCTAAGACCATCGGAAAACACATATATAATTACATATTGTTTTTGTGATTAATCACTATGCTTTAATTATGCTCAATTTGTAACAATGAAATTGGGGGTCACCACAACATGAAGAACTGTATTAAAGGGTCATGGCATTAGGAAGGTTGAGAACCACTGCTCTAGGGGCATGGGACAATACCCAAATAACTGACCCACACTGGCTAGGGCTAAACTATTATTCATATAGATTACATCAGGTAATACGATCAGGGTGTTAAGAAACACTGCCACCAAAGTCAGGAGAGATGAGTAAAAAATTATGTCCTTGTCCTAGATAGCAACATACTCTTCCCAGCTCTACAATTCTTAACTTTCTGTGACTATCCTGTCATGACATAATGTGGCTAAAATAGCTTTTCCCTAACCATTTCCTTACAGCACCAAATATAAAAGGTATACAGAGCTATGCTTTTCTCTCAATTAAAGAGGCAAAAGAAGAATTTTAAAAATATTTAAATAATACAGTCCCACTCCATAGAATTTTGTTACATTTTATATTTATTTCAAGATTGCAAATACTTATAAAGATACATAGACACGCGCACGTGCATATGTGCACACACACACACACACACACACACAAACACACAAAGCTGCAAAGGAATAAAGTCTCCTTGACTTTTGTTTCAGAACACATACATCTATCATCACTGGTGTGATTTTTCTCTTATGCTGCTTTTTATTTTCACAGTACAATCTTCAGTACTTTTCCCCACAGTCCTCTGTTCCTAATTAACAGTACTTTACATATCGTGGTGGAATTTGGCTTCTTTCAAGGGCATTTCATTACCTTTAATTTCTATTCCAAAGTTACTTCTTTGGAATAGTAATTCTGGAAGTTACTACAAAATGAATGCTTGTGTCATACCTGTTACATTGTGTCGAGCCAGCTCAGCCAAGGGTTCACAAGCCTGAGTGAGGGCGGCGAATGGATGAAGAAAAGACATACAAAGAGAATAAGCTGGGTCTAGGTGATCTTCCTGTGCCTGGCTGAGGCCACAGAGAGAGAGATCCAGATGCAAGCTGAGCCTTTATTTTATAGCCAGAAGTAAACAAGGTAGTAGTCACCATAGTTACAATGTTCTTGTGAGTTTCACTTGTTTTGGCAGCACTTGCTACATCTCCTCAGCCCATTAGCTTACCCAGATAAGATCTAGGGAGCGTCATAAGGTCAAGCCTAATTATGCTAAGAGGACTGTGCCCTCTAAGCTAGTACTTGTTTGTGGCTTTGCCAAAGGTCAGTCTGAGGCTTAACTCTATAGCCGTGCCTTACATCTCGCCCTTTTTAAAAATTTTTAAGCTACTATAATGAAAGTAAAACTTAAGCATCAAGAACAAAACTCTGGCTATTAAAACAATAAAAAAACAATGCCAATGCAAAACCCAAACTACATGTTAACATTTAAAAACTTAAACATAAAGCTCTGGCTATTAACAAAACAATGCCAATGTGTTAACATTTTTAAAATTAGTAAGAATAACAAAACAATACCAATGCAAAACAGCAATAAGTGAGAAATCAAACTACAGTAGCATTTTTCTACTAAATGAAAGTTTCTTTTGCTGATTTACTCAAGAGTCCTTGGACTTGGCTGCTCAAGACTTTGCAGAAGACTGGCAGCTAACCAATGCTATTATAGCCAGAAACATGATTGAGGGAGTAGCTTCCACATCTTGTTTTTCTACCATCTACTGGGCCTGAGTTGTTAACTTCTTCAGCTGACCCCATGTTGGCACTTCAGTCCCTTGCGTAGCCTTCGTCATCTTCCTTTTCCATATTGCTGTCATCGGGGCAACTCTCAGTCTTTTGAGCGAAGGGACAAGGAGCTTCTCTGGGTCCATTGTGGTGACACACGTAATGCTCTGGCACCAAAATTGGCTGTGCTGCTCCTTCTTCCTTTTTGTTTTCTGCACGTGCTTCACTGGAGCATCCTTTCACCTGACAACTGTAGTTCCTCTGAACTCAGGCCCCGTGTTGGACGCCACATGTGCTGAACCAGCTCAGCTAAGGGTTCACAAGCCTGAGTGAGGGCGGCGAATGGATGAAGAAAAGACATACAAAAAGAATAAGGTGGGTCTAGGTGGATCTTTCTGTGCCTGGCTGAGGCCATAGAGAGAGATCCAGAGGCAAGCTGAGCCTTTATTTTATAGCCAGAGGTAAACAAGGTAGTGGTCACCATAGTTATAATGTTCTTGTGAGTTTCACTTGTTTTGGCAGCACTTGCTACATTTCCTCAGCCCATTAGCTACCCAGATTAAGATCTAGGGAGCATCATAAGGTCAAGCCTAATTATGCCAAGAGGCCTGTGTCCTCTAAGCTGGGACTTATTTGTGGCTTTGCCAACAGGTCAGTCCAAGGCTTAACCCTATAGCAGAGCCCTACATTACAGGATGTGAAAACAAATTATTACAATAGTAAAAGGTAAAATGAACTACATAATGGAACCAGCACTGGGCTCAGAAGCACTGGACAGGCAAGCAGGGAAGCTGCTATGAGCCACAGTGGTGGCACAGTGTGGCCACAATATCAGCACAGTTTATAATTTAGGCATCTTTTTTGTGTTTGTTTTTTTAAGTAAATCTAGGTTATTTGCATTCTTTTCTCTTTTTATTTTCCTCATTGGTCCGGAAAAGATGATAAAATAAAAATAATTATTTTAAAATGTTAATAATCCATTAAGGCAATCTACATTTTTTAATATTAATTTCCAGTGCTTGTGCAGTTCACATGTCACAAAATTTTAATCAATTAACATTTCTGCTATTCAGTTTTTAAACTTACTGTCTCATAAAAAACATACATGAATACATATCTTGAAAATATATCATCTTGCTGTATTGAATAAACTGATTTATATTATTATGCATAATCCTGAAATGCAGATATTTATAAACAGTTTTATGTGTTTTTATATTTTTCTTTCTGCACGAAAAGGTTTTCATATGGCGTCCCAACCTGATTGTTTTGTATCTTGTAAGGCCTGAGATGTGGCCTTATTTGTAATTTTGAACTTCCCTGAGGAATGGAACTATTTTTAAAAGAGCAGTGATTACTGAAATTGCAAATGTCCTTTTTTCGCATTACCCTATGTTATCACTCTTTATATTTAGGAAAAAAATGGTAAGAACTTACCTTTTATGCTCTTACTGTCAGAAATGGTAATACAAAGTTCTTCGGACATTTCAGTTTTAAAGGATCTTAAATTTGAGATTCCTTCTGCTGAAATACAGTACTCAGAATTCAGTGAGGACACTGGAATACTAAAGTTGCACTGAGTCTCGTCACAATCATCTTCATTCTCTCCGAAAATTCTATCTATGATCTATATGAGAAAACAAAACACAATGAAAATTCATGGCTCCTTTTAATCTGCCAAAAAACAACAACAACAAAAACAATCACCATATTTACACTGGCCATACACCTAGAGAAAGCATATATGTGATGAATGTTGTACATGTCTGAAAAGACTGTTCATATCAAGTAATAAGTCAGTTTGTTACTTCAACAGAGCATGATGTAACCATCAAAATTTTCTTTATAGGGATTAGGAATTTAAAACCACAAATAGCAGGAATGTTTTATTAGTCCTATTTCTGTAATGCTAGAAACTTAGCTGGTGAGAGATAAAAGCATTTTCTAGGAGAATAATAGCAATATTATACAAAGGCTGTAGAATCTCTTGGTAGTAATATGTAGAAAAGACTGAAGCAATCTCTGGAAATTTATAATTCACTCCACCAGTCGAAGTGCATGGATCACTGTGCTAAGGCCTGAAAACTCAAGGGCAGGAGAGTGGTGCTGACCTCAAAGAACTTACTGTAGGGAGTAGAAGAGAGGTAAGAATTAAATGTAAGAAATGTAATGAGTATTGCAAGAGGACATGTATAAGGAACTAGAAATAACTAGACCATTAAAGAGGAAATAGTCTACTGTATCAGAAAATAATTCAAAGGCGAGATGATATGCCAGTTGAATACTGAAGAATGAATAGAAATTTGCCAAAGGAGAAAGATGAAGAACATTCTATGAAAGAGCATATTACTTACAGGAATTAAGAACAGCAAGCAGTTCACCAAAGCATAAATGAAAATAAGGTTGGAAGGAATGGGGAGACTGGGTGCTGGAAAGGATATAAGAGGCCAATTCTCGAAGGCCTTGTAGGCCATGCAGGAAAGAGAATTTAGATATTATTTTGTAGCTGATGGGGATTTGTTAAAGAGTTTTAAGCAGTGAAGTAATATGGTTCTAGAAACAACTCTGCTAGCAACCGAAATGATGTCTTAAAATCTAAACCACATGTCACTCTTCTGTTTAAATTTTTCCAGATGTGCAATATCTCACTTAGAAAAAAAAATCAAATTCCTCTACTGCCCTAAGAGATGTGGCCCCAGGGACCTCTCTAACCTCATCTGTTTCCATACTCTGCGGCCTTGCTGCTCCCTTCATGTGCCTGGTGTCCTTTGGCCACACTCTGCCTGAAACACTCCCCTATCATGATCCATGGAGCTCACTCCTCCTCTCCTCCAGCCCTGGCTGTAGTAACATCTTGTCCAGCAGGTGAGGTCTGCTCTGACCACCCTCCTGAAAGTCACTACTACCCGTACCCCACTGCCCAACCCTCTTCCCTGCTTTTTCTCCATAGTACTTATCACTTGAGTTTTGTTTGTACTGTTCATTGCTTTCTCCTGGTGCCTAGAAGGCACAGAGCACATGCTTGACAAATATCTATATACTAGAGGCTCAGTGCACAAAAATTCGTGGGGGAGAGTCCCTCAGCCTGGCTTGCCCCCTCTCACAGTCCAGGAGCTCTCAGAGGATGTCCTACTGACTCCTGGGGAGCGGGCCTAGGCTCAATCTGTCCTCCCTCTGCGGGAGGCAGCAGCTGATCAGGGGAAGGTACTCCCCCATCACCCTGCAGCTGCTGCCACTGCTGGCTACCTTGGCTGCGAGGCCTGAGCCCTGGGCCCTGCAGCCGCTGGGGCTCACAGCTCACTGAGCCCCGTGCTTCGCATCCGCGGGGGCTCACGGCTGCCTGAGCCCCGGGCCTCACAGCCGCCAGGCCTCACGGGTCACTGAGGACCCCCCACCCGTACACTGGGCCCCCATCAGAGCAGGCCAGCCGACCCCCACCCGTGTACCAGGCCTCTATCCTATACAATAAAATGGTAATATACAAATTGACCCTAAAGGCGGACGACCAGAATGAGCGCTGGACCAGTCACTTTGAGGTGCACTGACCACCTCTCAGTTTCTTCCTCGGCTGGCAAGCTCCAATTGCCTGATGGAGAACAGGGAATTGGGGGTGGGTGGCGGGGGATGTGGGCGGCGCCATGCCATGGCCACCACCACCGCCAGTCGCCCCACACACAGAGGGCAACCCGTGACAGGGGTGGGGCCGTCGAGTCCCTTCCTCCAACCATCAGGCACTGAACACCCGATGGCAAAACGGGAACAGAGGGTGGGTGGCAGCGGGGGGTGGGGCCGGCTGTGGGCAGCCGGGGAAGATGGCCCTGATCGCAGGCCAGGCCTAGGGACCGTACCCAGGCACAAATTTCGTGCAGCAGACCTCTAGTTAAATAAAGGAATGGTAGCACTGTGGCAAATGGATGGAATAGAATAATTCGTGATCTGCACACCAGTGCTAGAATGTAATTATATGCCCACAGTACTACTGTTAGCTTTTTCTCTCATAAACAATGACTCCAATTACAGCTTTGTGTAATTTTACATTACTACCAATGAGGAAGAAAAGAATAAATTTATTCTCATCTTACCAGTGAAGGAATGAAAATATACAGGTTAATATCCTAGATTAGGGCTATTCTGTTATACAAGACAAAGAAAAAACTTAAATGTGTTCACCTGGCCAGTGCTAGTGATTAACTATGCCACCAATTCCACTCAATAACATTTATATATGTATTTCATTTTTTTTACCCAAACCTAGGATTGGTAAGTCTTGGCTGAATATTCATAAGCATTTTTTGTTGTTGTTAATCCTCATCTGAGGATATTTTTTTCTATTGATTTTTAGAGAAAGAGTGGAAGGGAGGGGGAGAGACACAGAGAGAGAAACATTGATGTGAGAGGGACACATCGATTAGTTGCCTCCCACACCCACCCCGACTGGGGCCAGGGACCAAGGCTGCAACCCAGATACATGCCCTTGACCAGAATCAAGCCCGAGACCATTTAGTCCATGGGCTGATGCTCTAACCCAGTGATGGTGAACCTTTTGAACTCGGCGTGTCAGCATTTTGAAAAACCCTAACTTAACTCTGGTGCCGTGTCACATATAGAAATTTTTTGATATTTGCAACCATAGTAAAACAAAGACTTATATTTTTGATATTTACTTTATATATTTAAATGCCATTTAACAAAGAAAAATCAACCAAAAAAATGAGTTCGCATGTCACCTCTAACATGAATGTCATAGGTTCGCCATCACTGCTCTAACCTCTGAGCCAAACTGGCTAGGGCAAGCATTCTACTTTCTTACATGACACAGGAAAAAACTTGTTGGTGACAGAAAATTTTCCATTTTGAAAAAGATGAAATAGAAACACATACCAGACTTCCATTTATTCTCTCATGCACCTTGTACATGAATGTGTAACAAGCTTCGTCTCCATAAATGGCTCCTAGCACTTCTCCATTTACCGTAATTAAAGGATGAAATATATTAATAATGATTTGGTCTTCCTTGTGACTGATATGCAGATTTGGTGGTCCAACTTTCCCTGGGTGGGAGGAAGGCAAAAAAGAAGTAGAATTAGTTGGCCCTGGAACTTTATAGTACACTAGAGGCCCAGTGCACGAATTCGTGCAGGGTGGGGTCCTTCTGGGTGGCCTGCAGGGATCAGGCTGAAACCCACAGTCCAATGCCACCTGCACCTCCTACATGCTGCTCCCAATCATCCCAGCCCCATTGTGTCTGCTGCGGGCTTGTGCCCAATCAGTCCAGATCAGGAGAGGCTCGTGTTGCCACAGCAGCACTCCCCAGCCATGAGTCCTGCATCTGGCACCCTCCCAAGGGGAGTGGCCTGTGGGATAGGGCTAAAACCGGCTTACATCCCCCGAGGGGTTCTGGATTGCGAGGTCGCAGGGCAGGCTGAAGGACCCCCCCAGTGCACGATCGAGCCTGGTAGGGACTATGGGAGGACTCCAGGGCGTGTCTGGCCCATCTCACTCAGTCCCAATCAGCTGAACCCCAACAGCAAGCTAACCTACCAGTTGGAGCATCTGCCCCCTGGTGGTCAATGCATGTCATAGCGAGTGGTTGAGCAGCCTTAGCATATCATTAGCATATTATGCTTTGATTGGTTGTTTGGTTGTTCTGCCGTTTGGTCTATTTGAATATTACCCTATTATTACATAAGATTGTATAAAATTACCAAAATCAAACAACCTACTCTTTTTGCTGTTCTAAAGCAGAGCCACATTTAAACCATTCCAAAAAGATCTAGAAGATTTGAAGTGTACTTAATAAAGAAATGTTTATAATATATCTTCTCAGTCAAGAAGTATTCTTATCTAATCTAAACTCCTCTTTAACAGTTTAAATTCATTTCAAGTCCTAAAGAAAAATAGGTGGTCATGAATCCCGGTAAAAAAACTTTGATATAATAGAAGTTATTTTTTCTTTACCTTTGGTTCTGTAGATTTAAAAAAACCAAAAAACAAAAAACACACAACTGTTTTCACCTGGCCAGTATGGCTCAGTGGTTGAGTGCTGACCCATGAACCTGGAGGTCACTGTTCAATTCCTGGTCAGGGCACATTGCTCAGGTTTCAGGCTCAATCCCCAGTAGGGAGGTGTGCAGGAGGCAGCCAATCAATGATTCTCTCTCATCATTGATGTTTCTATCTCTCTCTCCCTGTCCCTTCCTCTCACTGAAATCAATAAAAACATATTTTTAAAAATGGTTTTCTAAAAACATGATTTAGAAAAGGTGTTTTAGTTATCTTTAAACCTTTGCAGTAACTCTTTATATTTCCACACTATGGATATCTGGCATGAAAGCTCTATAAAAGTCTGCTGAATATATTCAGTTTTTACTGTGAAAATCAGAACTAGATATTCATTCATTCCAGAAATATTTATGATGTGTCTTTGATGTTGGGGACTTTGTTGGTGAACCATTTAACTATTTTTCACATATTTATTATATACCTACTGTGTGTCAGGCAGGTCTGTTTTTACTCACCCATGTATCCTCAGGGCCTACCATACTTTCTGGCATAAAGTATGCCTTTGATAAGTCTTTCTGGGAAAAATCTGACATACAGAGGGTATAGTTGTTGATGACAAAGGCATCATAATCTCTGAGGAATAAAACTATTTCAAGGGCAGGTAGAGAATGGGTGTGGAGGAGAACAAGTAAGCACAATCCAGAATGTAGGAACAGAAGGAGGTGGTAGTTGAGGTAATGAAGCATGAAGCTGAACAGGAAGGAAGTAAAGCTGGAAGGCGAGACACTGAAGGACTGGAAGCCTAGGGAGCAGTCAAGTGACTAAAGATTTCTTTTAACCAGAAGTGAGGGTATAAGAGCTACAAGGGAGGACATTAGTCAGAAAAGGAACTGGCATTGAAGATTCTGGACCTTAATGTGATAGTAAAGATCAGGTAAACTATGGCAACAGGATGCTGGAAGCACGAAGAGCTGAAAATCATTGGGGTTAAAGAGATTACAGAATTCTGGTATTTTTTAAAGTATGAAGTTGGTATTATAATTCCCACAACCTTGAGGACTTAAGGTAGGCAAGTAAGATAAAGAAGCTGCCAAAGCCCTCAGTGAATGTAACTTATAAAGGAATGACCAAGACAGGGAGGGGCAGGGCAGTGCAGAGTCTAGTTAGACAGCACTAATCCACATATTTATTTATTAAAATATATTTTATTGATTTTTCACAGAGAGGAAGGGAGAGGGATAGAGAGTTAGAAACATCGATGAGAAAGAAACATTGATCAGTTGCCTCCTGCACACCTCCTACTGGGGATGTGCCCGCAACCAAGTCACATGCCCCCGGCCGGAATCGAACCCGGGACCCTTCAGCCCGCAGGCCGACGCTCTATCCACTGAGCCAAACCGGTTAGGGCTACTAATCCACCTTTTTAAGTAGAATAGAAATATAATAGTTTAGCCCTAACCGGTTTGGTTCAGTGAATAGAGCAGGGGTGGGCAAACTTTTTGACTCGAGGGCCACAATGGGTTCTTAAACTGGACCTGAGGGCCGGAACAAAAGCATGGATGGAGTGTTTGTTTGTGTGAACTAATATAAATTCAAAGTAAACATCATTACATAAAAGGGTACGGTCTTTTTTTTTTTTAGTTTTATTCATTTCAAACGG